AGACGATGGGAAGTCGGGGTTATTAAAATGAGGAGAAGATTAAGTTTGATCAGGGGTGTAACTTTTTCAATATGAAGTCACATTTTTGTTTTCGCCTACATATTTGATTATTACTCAAGATGTTAGCCATTTCGTGTCACTAATGTGTCAAAAATCTACTTTAACTGTATGTAATACAGTGAAATAACATAAGTACTACATACATATATGCGAATTTATCACTCGCTATAAATCTTAAAAACCATATTTATACAAAACAAACATATACACAGTCAGTTTTGAGAATCATAAAGGTTATTTATTTGATATTACAATTGTTTGAATTCAATGGAAGTATTTTTCTCCAGTGCAAACACATTGCCGAAACAAACGTTGGCAACTTTTTAGCGAAAATGTGAACATTTAAGTAAGTTATATTTGACGAATCTACATTTTGAATATTGCAGTGATAAATAACAAAAAGCATATAGCTTTTTAATTGCGCCATTAACCAGCTCCCTAACAACGACGAGGGTTGTTTATAACAGAATTTGGCACAATTTATGCCTCCTATTACACAGCTCAAAAAGACAACAGTCTTGTTAAGAATGCCATTCTTCAATATAAAAGGTGATATGTCTGTTTTGAAGTGTTTACTTTGTAAAATAGTACATCAAAGTTGGGTGACGTTTCATGGCCTCGATAAACTTATAGAAGGTTCATATAGTGAATTTATAACACTCTAGAGTAGTCAGTTTAAAACAATACTCACTTTTGCAATACTGAAGACCTTCCTGGTTTCAGAATTCAGATAATGTAGATAATGTTGAAGTTATTGCAAATATTGACGTATAAATCAGAAAGTCTTAAAGCCATTTTGAATTGCCATCGGTATTCACATTCCAAAGAAATGCATAACATGCCAGTAGAGGGCTGGGAATGAAATATGATAGCACCCAAATATATTTTTGGTGGGGATCGTGATCCCGGGACTTGGATCCAATAGTTTTACATTTAGAGCAAGGAAATGTGGTACAATAAAAAACAAGCTTCTTTATTTCAATAATATTTTAGAAGGGGTGTTTTCATAATTTGCACTCGACCCCACTTTTAGTGAACGATGGGTGTATGAGTCTAATTCTATCATAAAATCTACACTTGAAGAAGACACGTCTAACCTGCGCACAATGATCAGTGTAATCTCTGTATTAACATTGAAGTGGATGATCTAAAAAAAACATGAGCTGGGCGTTAACATTATTTTAAAGTTTAATTCAATATTAGATAAAGTATCTGATTCTTATTATGCCATCAATCAACTCATATCGTATCATATAGGTGCCTTTACTTATTTGTTACCAGCTTACTCCCAAGTAGGTGGTTGTGTGCCATTTTGATATTTGAAAAATATAAAAGGGTGGCTAAAAAGATCTGCCAAATGAATCCCATCGTGAAACGTTTAACACAAGTCGCCAAGCTGAGTTCAATGGAAGAACTGAACTGATGAAATCAAATAAATTAGAATTTTCTAGAGATAGCTTAGCTTGTCGTATCTATCTATCCACGAGCAGGAGAAATTATTTAAGAGTTTTTCGAGTATCTCGGATGGGATCATAGAAGTAACACGTTCGGTTTCAGGAAACTCATTTTTGGTAGTGAGAACGGTTAGTTCGAAACATTATGTGGACTATTCATGTCCTCGATTACATTCATCTTTGCCGTCTAAGGTGGAGCAAGTGAAACCTTGTTAGCAAGATGAGTAACAAAAGTAACACCATCTTTTATCTTTGAATTATTTAAAAAACATGAATACAACCATTATAAAACAAAACGAGGTTTTATTGGCTTTATAAATATAGGTATGCTATATTTTTTAACATGTGTTCTTTAGACTACACGTGAAATACAGCGTTTGAAGAAAAAACCATTCTAAATGTGCAGGTGTGATTGTTAACTCTAGGGTGTTGTATTATAGCGACAGATTGCCATATGAGGAATCTGAAGAACACCAGTCACACTCATTAGAAAGTTTAAGTTGAATTGGATTGTAGCTACACAGCCGAGTACTTGACGATTGTCATCGGGTACCAACTGACTCTCACCCTCTTACCACCAATTTCAAGTAAGACATGGAGAATATATTGATCCAAATCAACCACTCGTTACCTATAAAAACAAGATATTTAACACTTTGAAGCACAAAGTGATATATAGAGTGTTTTGCAAATTGCAGACTGTCCAATTTAGAAACAGACAGATATAATGTCAGCAGCACTCAAGACCTTTTCCAAGTTTGAAGTCATTTTTCGCTAAATGTTCGAAATAAATTGTCTGGCCCCGAATAGAGAACTGATCGACCCCTGGTGCATCGTTATGAAATTTTCATGCATCGTGTGTGAATCATTAAGGAAGTGTAGTAAAATGGTGATGATGCTAATACAAATACAGGGGCATGTAACACCTCTACTAAATGGAATACCACAAAAAATGATTCGATTTGCCACCAAGAATTTGTCATTGGGCTTTAACTCGTAATTTATAAGTCAATATTTAACATCGTATCAAATATTTATTTCACGAAGCCTAGGACCAGAAAGTTAAATTCTGACTTAACAAAGATTAACTTCACTTATTTTGTATCCCAAAGCGTTCCCGTTTCAGTTACGCGATATTTGAATAGTTAATCATTAGAATAACTTGACTGAGACAGTATTAACGTACATTCCTTTCTACTTTAATCAGAAGGCACGTTCCTGATGATGATCAAAAATGAGTTATGTGTCATTACTTATACTTTGATTATTGCTCTTGTCATATCCGCTAACATGTGTGATTTCTATTGAAACGTTAATCGAGTGTTTTACGCTGTTAACAAAAGCATTAATTGTTTTTGTTGACAGACTTAGATCAGATTCCATATTATTGAACTGAGCCTGTCCTACCACTTACAACTTACGGTTACCCCTCGCAGCGTACACACCACAAATCAATCTCACACAAACTTTTTTCAATTTCTAAAAGTTTCTTTTCTTTCTCCTACATTCAATTAAGAGAATCGAGAAAATACTCCCTTTGAAATTTGATCTCTGACCAAACAACGGTATTTAAAAGTGACAACGTCTAGGTTGAGAGAATTAGCTCGTCTTTACTTAACTAAAGGGGTAAACAACGAGGAGAGCCTTCAAAGCTCTCCTCTGACAACATTGTGGGCAAACAGCGTCTCGAAGCCTTGGTAGCACGTAGGAGACCCACGCCGGTCGTTTTTGTACAACGACCTCTTCTGAATTCTACTTCGTAAGGAGGGCGCTCATCTTGTACCTCCAAATATCTATATTTACTTTCGGAATCAGTTGATCCACCAAAGGAAGTGCAAAGTAACAGCCGCTTTCAACATAACTCCTAAACAAATTTTACATCGTGTTTAAGTAAAGCAGACATCAATATTACAGATATAGTTTTATTGACTGATCAACTTTAATTAAATGACGATCCAAACAAGCCTGTTGTATTTAAAGATGGTTATCAGTTATTATTTGAAATTACTTCTTTCTTTGTTAGTTTTTTGGCTTAATCATCTGACACCGGGACGAGCGTGTTCCTCCCCGCTTCTTGCGGTGGCTGCTCATTTTAGTCCGCATTCCGCAAAGTTATCAATTGTTCTTTGCCCATGTATGGTAATGTTATATTCTACAATACTACAATTCCATATGCTTCTGTCGCCAATCGTGACCCGTTGTTCTGTGTTTCCAAAAAAGGCAGTGGCGCCCGTGACTTAAGAAATTCAAATTCCACAAATGCCTAAGCCTGGGTCCATTGTCGTATTTTGTGTCATAAATGAATAACGATAAAAAACCTTAAAAAAGAATTTGAACTAATTTTTTGATTCACACCTGACATTAGCATTACATCATCAGTATTTTTGAATTATTATGTAAATATTGTAATATCTCATTATGCAGAAAGCATGGGAAATATTATTGTCTCGTCATCATTTCGTATTCACGTGACGTGCAACGAAATCGAAAACCAATGAGTTCAATGGATCGAAGATTTAGCTGAATCAAAATGGACAACAATTCTCAATTGGCCAATGCATTGAATTTGAAATAAAAGTGTTGTGAAATCGGTAAATGGTTTAAGAGGGATGAGGTTTGACTCAATGTTTGCATGTTTGAATGAACGCTCTAATCACTCCCTAAATTAACAAAACGTCTCGTCTGTGGTCAAACAGAGGTTAATTTTTACACCATTTCAGGTTACTTTTGAATTATTCCTTATCTTTATTATTTTATTGTTAGTCGAAAACGTTTCATGTGTCATTTTTATCGACAGGATTTATAATGAAGTTGGTATAGACTGACATATCAAATGTCAACCATTGTCAACAATTTGGAATATAACGTAGGCGCATATCCATTTAGGAACCATGTACAATGGATTTACAATGGTGTAAAATAAAATTCCAATTGCAAATCGATGACACTACACATCCGTTCCATCCGTCCATGTACATAGGTTTTTCTGCTAAACTCTAAGTGTAAACGTCCTCATGATCATATTCCTTTTACTTTGTACCTTTCCCGATACCGTAGCTTTTAGGAGAGACTTGGGTTCGGTTCTTGCTCCGTAATATGTATACTATCAGGCAATCAGTAGTACTTCGGTCTTACCGCAGTTCGCTCCTAGAAAACGACGACATCAGCCATTACTTTACACCGTACGTAGTTCATTTGTAGTGGATGGTATCAGCCTTTGCTTACAATGCAGTTCAGTTGTAGGGAACGACACGATACAAGTATTTGCTTATACCGTAGTTCATTTGTAGCGTACGGCATACATAGGCCATTACTTACAGTGCTGTTCAGTTGTAGTGAAGGAACGGAAACACCCATATTACTTACACCTTATGCGGTTGTGTGATGATCCATTACACGACCGTCGACATGCTACCGTCGATGCCGCACGACAATACAAATGTCGCAAATCCACACCTGTATTAATTCTTCTTTATTTTTTTCCAGAGATGCAAGGACAAACTCGATACTCTGGCCATCTCCGTCATGAACCATTGGCCAGGTGTAAAGCTACGAGTCACAGAAGCGTGGGACGAGGACGGCGTTCATGCCAAGGACTCGCTTCATTATGAGGGTAGAAGTGTAGACATTACCACAAGTGATAGAGATAGGTCAAAATATGGAATGCTGGCAAGACTAGCTGTTGAGGCTGGTTTCGACTGGGTATACTATCAATCTAGAGGGCATATTCATTGTTCAGTAAAATCAGGTAAGAGCAAGTACCAATTTACTACCAAAACACAAATGCAGCACGCGCCATCATTTCATGTGTCTATCCTCGACTCTAGCCTCAAGAACGATACGTAACCTTTCTAATATTTCTATTTTCTAATCCAAGGCCGATTAATAGAAAAATAGGTAAGAGCAGCAGAGGGCGCTGTCATTGGCCATTGTTTTATATCGCACGTTCCCTAGACAACAACACGCACTGCCATACACTTCAGACTTTTAGTCTTTAGGTGACCCCATCAAAAGTTGAACATTTAATTTTTATTATTTCGTCGCAATTGTCACTCATTCTAGATATTGTTAGGACGTATGGTGGTTTATCACTACCTCTTTGATAAACAGATTTCTTTTCGATGTAAATCATGTTTACTGTGATAACCTTGTGATCAACTGAAGATGATACACAGGCAACTCTACTTCAACCTACTGAACGGTAGGCTCATGTAACACAGATACGACACATAACTTACAAAAACGCATAGACATTCTTATTTATGACATCTGTAACATCTGGTATGCCATTGCCGGAAACACCAATATCATGAATCTTAGATATACAATTAAAATGTTCACCACCAGTGCTAAATTAATCTGTCCAGTTTATGACAACGAGTACATCATATTCCTAAATGCTGTTATTTTATTACTTTTATCTATAATGAATCACTAGTTCACTCGTTGAGGCTGTCCAATACGCCATTTCATGTCTATTGTCTCATAGAGATAAATCATATTGAAGAAGCTGAATTCGACATTTTTGGTCTTTAATACGTACAAGTAGACACTGTACTCCTGATAGGAGGGTGATCGGGTGTGATTCTGAACACATTTCATATTTAACACACTTGACTTTATGTCTTTATGCAAGGTATTTCTTATCTCTCGTTCAAATTCAAAAAATTATAATTTAATTTAATATCTTTGGAACTAAAATTTAATTTGAATTTTTTTAGTATAACTAGACCATCACTGTTTGCTAATTAACATGTGTATATATTATGTAAACGGCTATGTTACAAACGCTATGGTATTCGGCGGTTGGTGTTCGACGTTTGGCGATTATATTATGTAACAAATAACAGGTGGTGACATTTTGCATGTAAATGCTTTGTTTTAATGCCTGTGGTTCTGCACGTTTCATTGACAAGTCCAAAATCTGAAAATATCTCTCTGTCCCGAATGGTATAATCTATGCTTCTCTTTTTTATTATTTTCTTGAACCTAAATGAGCATTTTATATATTCGTTATCATATTATGATCTTTGTTTCATGTCATTTGTACATTCACAATATTGTCCATCATCCATAATTTCACTTTTGGGTTTAATAAGGACCATCAACAAATGCACGTTCTATATCTTCTCCCTTTAGAAACCAAATGCATTGATTCTGGTGTTTGTTAAAATGTTGAACATCTTTTAAGGCTATGACAAATATATCATTCTGCGAACCATTCAAAAGTATATGGCATTTTTACTCGAAATTGAAATTTGAAACGTGTTTTGAATTGTCATCAACAATTTTCAACTTAATTTTCCAACAAAAGCACAAGAATTTCGAAATGGCGTTCTGCATAATATATGATACGTTATACGGATTAATTTCTTCGTTCAGAAGTTTTATCAGCATTGACCCATTAGAATTCTATGTAATGACCATAGAAGTGGCAGGACAAATATTTATTTTAAGTGATTTTCTCTGAGAAAGACATGACCTGTGTTGAGCTAACGTGACACTTTGCCCCCTTGATAAGAACATTCTACAACCAAACTGGCCACTTAACTTATGGTAGTTATCCGTGCGTTTACAACAATAAGTAGAATGATATTGATATTAATAGCAGGTTACTAAAAAAATTATGCAATACGTGGATGATTTATCTAGATATCATATCAAAAGCAACAGGCATTTCCCAAATCCTAGGATTCTTTTCTTCATCCTAGCCCAAATCATTACATGCAGTACATATACAGCCCTATATATTTTCCAGTACATGTGTATATATACATATGAATTCTTTTTATCAGATTGATGAAATATTCTTTTTCTCAGATTGACATTGATGAATATAATTATATTTTTATGTATGTAAATCAAGTAGAAATATTCCAAATGAATAAAAATTGTTGTTGTACTTGCAGATTCATCAATAGCGATCAAATCAGGTGGCTGTTTCCCTGGTACAAGCCTCCTTACAACAAAAGATGGCAGCACAAAGACAATGTCTGACCTTCGACCCGGGGACAATGTTTTGACAGTGACCTCTAGTGGGGAGCTAGTATATTCCCCGGTTATATCCTTCCTCGATAGGGACAAGTCCCAGCCAAATTTGTATTATACTTTACATACTGAAAGTGCCAAATCTATCACTTTAACACCAAGCCATTTAATATATGTCTCCCAGAACAATAACACCAAGACAGTAAATCCTATAGAAGATGGTGTTGCAAAATTTGCCATGGATGTGCGAGAGGGTCAATACATTTATATCACAGACAATGGTAAATTAAAACTAGAGCGAGTCATACATATGGAGCAGAGCTCCAGGAAAGGAGGCTATGCCCCTATTACTGCGCATGGAACAATAGTAGTTGACGGGGCGTTGGCGTCTTGCTACGCTGTTGTCAACAGTCACAATGTGGCCCATTATGCTTTAACTCCACTGAGACTTTACCACTACATCACAGAATGGCTCCATTGGAGTCACTCACACACAAGTACGTTAGAGACAGGGGTGCATTGGTACGCTAAGTTGCTGTATGACATTTCACCATGGGTGATGAACAGTAATATGATGTTTAACCCATGAAAGCTCCAAATGATAACTGAAGAATCACAATGAACATCACAGAGCTCACCAATGTACTCGGTACAAAAGTGGATTTCACTATAAAGCGCCAGTATATCCTTGGGTCCAAGAGAGAAGAGATCAGAGCTTGGCATTAAATGTGAACGTGGATGAGTTCAGTAGGCCCATTGCTGGCCACATTAATATCATTCTCGGTTGCCAAACACACCAAACACTTGACTTGCATCAGCCATTAATTGGTTCTTGATGCAACTGGGACCTAAATGAACTTCAGGATTAGGTCTCGAGTACTGTAGTTAGTCGTATGCATAATGTGCACGTTTTGTTTGGACACAAGAAAAATTGGAAATATGTAGGTATCACATTTTTTGTGACATGCACGAGTATTAAGTACAACTCTATAAACATTCCTTAACATTCATAGAAAACACGTAATATACACAATTCAACGAATATGTTCAAGTAAAATCATAAACGTTCTCAAATATCTATACATATGTTAACTGTTTTAATACATCTAGCATACATTACATTCCGTGTTGTACATTCTTTAAATTTACAAATCTTATTGTGTGCTTTGCTTCTAACTTATGTCGCTTTATTGTAATAAGTGTAATTCATGTACAGGGTGTCAAACATATTTCTATCGAGTCTTGTACACGATATCAAGGGATATACGTCTAAACGACAAGTTCATACATTAATGTTTTTCTTGAAATTGTGCACTTGACTGTGTCATTAACATGTTTTTCTTGAAATTGTGCACTTGACTGTGTCATTAACATGTTTTTCTTGAAATTGTGCACTTGACTGTGTCATTAACATGTTTTTCTCGAAATTGTGCACTTGACTGTGTCATTAACATGTTTTTCTCGAAATTGTGCACTTGACTGTGTCATTAACATATTTTTCTTGAAATTGTGCACTTGACTGTGTCATTAACATGTTTTTCTTGAAATTGTGCACTTGATTGTGTCATTAACGTGTTTTCTCGCAACAGTTTATATAAAGACTTTGTGTACCCCACGATTTTATAATGTTTTCTTTTATGGTAATAGTTTATAACAAATGTTTGAAAAGACGTGTCTTTATAAGATAAAACAAATGATGTAAGCTCGGAAACATTAAAGTAGTATTCCTTTATATGTGTATTCCAATATATCGGTATCAAAATGACATAGTAGACAGCTGGAAATGTGCAACTATATTGTCGCATTTCCAACATATATATCAGTTAATTCAGCAGATAGTGGTTCAGTGGTCGTTAACACTTTTACCACTTTAAGTATTTTCACAATTTTATTGTCTACTGATGACTTAAAAAGTTGAAGGTATATATTTTGAAATTATTTAATTATGTAGTAAGTATTTATATTATTGCAAAGGTGATGTAAATCTTATTTTCTGATTAACTCTCTTCACATGTATTTTGTGTTTGGTACATGACTAGTACGTTGTACGTTGATGTACAGTACGTGGAGAATAGAAATGCTATGCTATGCTACACTATGCTGTGCTATGTTATGCTACACAATGTAAGTTACCAGAGAAATGATTAGTTATTTCGGATATATGCTAGATTTACTGTACATGACAAATTTTGCAATCCAGAGCAAAGCTATGTGGTATACTGTACAGTATATAATATAAAATGTATAATATGCTTCTAGGGCATCAATTTGAAATTATATAATATATTTATTTGTAAGTTATAAAAATTGATTATATAAAATATATGAATGGATATCATTTGAAGGGCATGATAATGATTATAGAGTGCGGCACAATAGGTTGATAAAAGGCAACACTGCTAATAATCAAAGACGTATCGTTATTCTGCTTTTCAAAAGGTAACAATGTGGTGGACCATCGTCAAATATTACGTACGCTATGTATAGGTGGTAACATTTCCTTATACGACAGTCAATCGGTTCGATTTTGATGATCTGCTTCAATGCTATTTACACATCTAAAATATAAGTTGGGTAAATTCATATGATAATGTGCTGTGACTCTTGGTTTCCGCGCCCATGAAACCATTTATCTGACAAAATAGCACATGTTATACCTGGAAATAGTGATTTGTACTTTTGATACATTTCTGTAAATGTTCAGAATTTACATAGTGTCTGTGGAAACACCTAATTTATCTGAATGGTTACATGGTTCCAGCTTGTTCGTAGTCTCATGAATGAATTACCTTGGGAGGGTAAGCTTTCCAATGGTAGCGAAATATAACCTACCTTGTATGGCATTTAGGCAAGATACATGTATATTATACATATATATTAGAGTTCGGTTCGTGGGGGGTCATCTTTAAACACATACGTAGCCCAATGTATGTACGGAATTGTGACTATAACATACATTCAAAGTCCTCTTTATATTGGGAAATGTGGTCATCACACATTACCTGACATATTCTGGTATATACAATATATGGAACTGTTACCTAGATAGGAGCTCTGCCTATTATATACGTACTGCCCGTACACATAGTTGAAATCCATACATATGGACTATTTTTATATGTTAATTAATTGTTAAATCTAGACAATCATATGTATATGTATCAGCAATGATTAAATAAATAAACTTTATGTACATACGATAATTATTTCTTAGTGTAATGATTAAGTATAACAATTCAATGATCTGAATCGTTTTCCATATGGAAGCATTATATCATCAAACAAGTATGTAACTATAGTACGATGACTAACGTTGGATCATATTTTACATGCCAATGCGATACGCTCAGTTTTCGTAATTTATTTCAAAAGTATAATATAATATAATCGAATACCCTCTTGTATTGTTAGATTCTATCTTTAGATTTCATCAATTTTTAATACCAAGTTGGCCTTTCTGTTCACTTCCACTTCTTGTGTATTTAACCAATGCATTGCCATTTTTCAAGTCTGATGCAAAATTAAAATTAACAATTACCCAGAATGCCGAAAAACTAATCAGTTCTAAACTTACATAGGTAGAAACATCCCTGAGAATTTCAAATGAATCCCTCAAACGGTTTGGCTGGAAACCTGTAGACAAGCCTTGAGAGACAAGATTTTAGGACGGAAAATCCAAAATGGCCGCCTTAACATTTACCCAGAATGCCGAAAAACTAAGCAGTTCTAAACCTTCATAGGTAGAAACATCTCTGCGAATTTCAAATGAATCCCTCAAACGGTTTGGCTGGAAACCTGTAGACAAGATTATTCGGGACGCCCGCCCAACCGCCCGGCAAACTGATTACAATATAGCACCTTAGGGTGCGATAAAAACAGTTACTTGTCCCGTTTAGCCAATTTTTCCTTTCTTCTTTCTTTCATCAGACTCAACTGACTTAATCCATTTGCATACGTCTGATATAAAATTAGAGTATCAGTTACAAGGCCTGTTTTGTCAGTTTCTTACTTTTTTCTTTTTATTAGACTTAATTAACGTACTTAAATAAGTCCCTTGGAGTAAGAACCTGGCATAGGCTTCTTATTCATGTCTGATGCAAAATTAGTGTACCAGTCAGGGTGCCTGTTATGCCATTTTCTTAATTTGTCTTAATGCTGTTCTTAGTGAATTAGTACTGCGTTGGCCAACAACAACTAGCTTGTCGATGTTACACCCCTGCGCCACGATGAGGCCCAGTACTTTGCAGGGGACTTAACTAACTTAATAATCCCTTGGCGTAAGAATCTGGCATAGGCAACTTATTCACGTCTGATACAAAATTAGAGCACCAGTTACGTGGCCTGTTTTGCCGATATCTTACATTAATAAATCTCTTGACGTAAGAACCTGGCATAGGCTTCTTATTCACGTCTGATACAAAATTAGAGTACCAGTTACGTGGCCTGTTTTGCCAGTTTCACACTCACTTCTTTTCATTGCACTTAACTAACTTAAATAAGTCCCTTCTCATAAGAACTTGGCATAGGCTTCTTATTCACGTCTAATACAAAATTAACGTACCAGTTACGTGGCCTGTTTTGCCAATTTCTTACCTAAATAAATCCCTTGGTGTAAGAAATTAGCATAGGCTTCTTATTCACGTCTGATACAAAATTAAAGAACCAGTTACGTGGCCTGTTTTGCCAATATCTTACATAAATAAATCTCTTGTCGTAAGAACCTGGTATAGGCTTCTTATTCACGTCTGATACAAAATTAGAGAACCAGTTACGTGGCCTGTTTTGCCAGTTTCACACTCAATTCTTTTCATTGCACTTAACTTACTTAAATAAATCTCTTGGCGTAAGAACCTGGCAAAGGCTTCTTAATCACGTCTGATACAAAATTAGAGAACCAATTACGTGGCCTGCTTTGCCAGTTTCTTATGTAATTCGTTTCATTGCACTTAATTTACTTAAATAAATCCCTTGCCGTAAGAACTTGGCATAGAGTTCTCATTCCCGTCTGATACAAAAATAGAGAACCGGCTTGTTTTGCCAGTTTATTACTTAAATAAATCTCTTGGTGTAAGGATTTGGCATAGGCTTCTTATTCACGTCTGATACAAAATTAGAGAACCAGTGACGTTGCCAGTTTTGCCAATTTCTTACTCAAATAAATCCCTTCCTGTAAGAACTTGGCATTGGCTTCTTATTCACGTCTGATACAAAATTAACGTACCAGTTACGTGGCCTGTTTTGCCAATTTCTTACCTAAATAAATCCCTTGGTGTAAGAACTTAGCATAGGCTTCTTATTCACGTCTGATACAAAATTAAAGAACCAGTTACGTGGCCTGTTTTGCCAATATCTTACATAAATAAATCTCTTGGCGTAAGAACCTGGTATAGGCTTCTTATTCACGTCTGATACAAAATTAGAGAACCAGTTACGTGGCCTGTTTTGCCAGTTTCACACTCAATTCTTTTCATTGCACTTAACTTACTTAAATAAATCTCTTGGCGTAAGAACCTGGCATAGGCTTCTTAATCACGTCTGATACAAAATTAGAGAACCAGTTACGTGGCCTGCTTTGCCAGTTTCTTATGTAATTCGTTTCACTGCACTTAATTTACTTAAATAAATCCCTTGCCGTAAGAATTTGGAATAGAGTTCTCATTCCCGTCTGATACAAAAATAGAGAACCAGTTACAGTACGTGGCCTGTTTTGCCAGTTTCTTACTTAAATAAATCTCTTGGTGTAAGCATTTGGCATAGGCTTCTTATTCACGTCTGATACAAAATTAGAGAACCAGTGACGTGGCCAGTTTTGCCAATTTCTTACTCAAATAAATCCCTTCCCGTAGGAACTTGGCATTGGCTTCTTATTCACGTCTGATACAAAATGAACGTACCAGTTACGTGGCCTGTTTTGCCAATTTCTTACTTAAATAAATCCCTTGGTGTAGGCTTCTTATTAACGTCTGATACAAAATTATACAACCAGTTACATGGCCTGTTTGGCCAATATCTTACCTAAATAAATCCCTTGGTGTAAGAACGTGGCATAAGCTTCTTATTAACGTCTGATACAAAATTAACGTACCAGCAGTTACGTGGCCTGTATTGCCAATTTTTTACTTAAATAAATCCCTTGGTGTAAGAACTTGGCAAAGGCTTCTTATTCACGTCTGATACAAAATGAACGTACCAGTTACGTAGCCTGTCTTACCCGTTTCTTACTTAAATAAATCCCTTCCCGTAAGAACTTG